CTGCCCAGCTGGGTATCTGCCCTGGTGCCCTGCTTTCTGAGCTTGGCAGGTTCAGGGACACCCTGCCCTGACCCCACACCAGTCACTTCACCCTTACATCCCCTTTGGCCCTTCCAGGTCCCGGGTCTCCTCTGAGAGTGAGTTGGATGATGAAGGCCCCTGTGGTGGTGATGGGGACCCAGGCCTGTTCCCCTTCCCCCTGCCCCGGGGTGGGGCCCAGGCCTCCAGCGAGGAGAGTGAGGAGGAGGGGACATCTGACGACCTCCACCTCCCCCCTGACTGCCATTATGCAACCCGGCCCCCGCGGCCACAGGCGGTAAGGACCTGGGGCAGGGGCCGGGGTGGGGGTGGCCCAGCCCTCTTGGCCCACAGCGTGGGGAGGAGATCAGAACCTGAGTACACATGCCCTTCCTGCCCCCCAGGCCCTGCCAACCATGCACCTTCCTTCTGCCTCTAGTTCTGCACCTTTGGGAGCCGGCTGGTGAGCCCAGGATGCTACGTGTTTAGCCGCCGGCTGGACCGGTTCTGCTCAGCACTCAGCTCCATGCTAGAACGGCACCTCAGCTCACACATGTGGAAGTGAGTCTCTCGGGCACAAGACTTCCGTGCCCAGGCCCCAGGTGCAGGAGGGCTTCAGAAGCCCTGATCCTCACATAGACCTATAGGTGTGACTTGGCTTGTTGGCCAGGACCTCAGACTGGGGTGGCATGAAGCGCGGGTGGGAAGACTTGGCAGCCTGGAGCTCAGCTGAGGCAGGGCACGAATGGGTGGTCTGGGGATGAATCTAGACTCTTGTACCTTTGGGTGCCAAGGGATGGAGGAAGCAAGCTTTAAACTCAGGTTCTTAATGGGTCTCCCTGCCAGGGATTCCCTTCTGTCTTGTGCTGGCTTCCTAGCTCTCAGTTCCGGCGTCTCCCAGCAGATGGCAGCAACTCTGGCTATTTCTAGGTGGGGCAGAGAGGTTGGCATGTGTTGTGTGGTGGGAGGCCCTCTTGTTTGCTTGGCAGTCACAGTGGGACTCTCTTTGCTGCAGGAAGATCCCGCCGGCGACTGAACCTCCGTCCCACCTTATCAGCACCCCCTTACCTGCTCCCCTGAGCCCATCCCCTGTGGGCAGTTGCCCCCGCCTTCCAGGCCTGCCCCCTAGACCTGCCTGCCCAGCCTCCACACCCCCCACCAAGGACAGCCTTGTCCCCAGTTACCCTGCAGGTTCCCCGAGTGTGGCAGCTGCCTGCAGCCAGGCGGAGTGCATGGGCGGGAGCCAGGCTATCACCTCGCCACTGCCTGCCAACACACCGTCCCCGTCCTTCAGCAAGCTGCCGCCTTCCAAGGCCAGCAAGTCATCCAAAGGCAAGGACGGGACGGAGGCCGAGGCCCCGTCTCGAAAGCGGAAGTTATCCCCAGGCCCCACCACTTTCAAACGGACCTGCATCCTGGAGCCCACTGGAAAAGGCAAGCCCTCTGGCTGCCGGGGCCTCTCTGCCAAGACTAAAACAGCCCTGGCCATGGGGCTTAACGGGACAGTGGGGCCAAGAGTGAAGCGGGCAGGGCCCCTGGACTGTCGGGGGTCCCCTCATCAGCCCCCCACACCGGTCAAGGCTTCTCAGCTGGAGAACCGGGGAGTGGCTGGACACCCAGCCAAGGCCCTGACAACCAGCTGCCTCTCTGAGGAGGAGGTAGCCAAGAAGCGGAAAAACCTGGCCACTTACTGCCGGCCAGTGAAGGCCAAGCACTGTCAGGCTGACGCCCCTGCCGCTGTGGCCTGCCCTGTGCGCCGCAAGAAGCCGGGCCCGGCCCTGGCCTTTGAGGAGAAGTGCTCTACACTGAAGGTACCAGCCCAGCTCCCTGAAGACGGATGAGGGTGGGGTGCACAGTGGGTGCCCGACAGAGAAAGTGCTAAGCTGGTGCTCATGCAGGGAAGGGGCGAGAGGGGCAGTTGAGAGAGTTCCTGGATTGTCTTCTTCAGGGAGAGGTAGGTCAGCTCTTAGCAAGGCGACACCAGCTTTTGCTTGGGGGACCCTTCCCTATCCCAGCCCTTTCTCCCTTGGGCTGAGGAGATGCCATACCGTGCTACCTCTGCTGCGCTCTACTCAGAGCGCCACTGCTTTCTGAATTGGCTGTGGCCCTCACTCCAGGTCTTGGAGCTACCTTGGAGTTTGGTTCCCTGAGCCATGGCTTGACATACTGAGCAGCAGGGTGGGTGGGCTGGTCTTGCTCGTTGGTTCTCCCTCTGGGTATCAGGGCATTGAAGGTCAGGTACACAGCCCAAGGTCCACAGATGCGTGTGTGCCCATCTTGCTCAAGTGCTCACCTCTGGGTTTTCAGGACAAGTTCTTCAGGGTTTCTAGGAAAGCCTGCAATAGGTTTATTTCCTCTTCTGATGGGAGCCTTCTGATCTCAGCCAGGAGGGACTTCTTGGACATGGGATGGGGGTGTTCTCCTGTTTGGGCGTGGTCCTAGACCACTTATGTTCTCCAGCTCCGCTACCTGGCTGCCTGTGTTGGCCTGGCATTCACCTGTCCCCTTGCAGTTTGATTCCCCAGGCCAGCAGGAAACCAAGCTTTAGTCCGTACAGTCCGCACAGTTCAGGGAGGAGGACAGCCCGTAGGTCCCGCCCTGACCATCTCTCACCTCTTGTCTTCCTGCAGTCAAAAGCCCATTAACAAGAAAGTGCCTGCTCGCCGCAAGGAGCCGCCAGCACCTCCTCCCCGCCAGATCTGGGCCCCAGGCTGCGGCCGCTTTTTATAACTTTATATTATTTTTTTTAAGAAAAAAACTCTTTAAAATACCTCAAGACTGTCTCCCTATTCTGTTGCTGCTAAGAAAATATAAAAACAGAAACATAGAAAAGGAAAGAAAGAAAAAGTAACAAAACGAGTGTCCTTACTGTCCCCAGCCCCACCCTGGGAAGGTAATGATAGGCAGTCAGGCTCCAGATTCCAGAGCTTCCCTTCAAGAGCCTCTCGTGCTCATTATTCTTTTTTTTTTTTTTTTTTTTTTTTGAGTTGGAGTCTCACTCTGTCGCTCTGGCTGAAGTGCAGTGGCACATTCATGGCCACCCCAGCTTCAACCTGCGGGACTCTGGTGATCCCTCTGCCTTAGCCTCAACCTCCCAAGTAGCCAGAACTACAGGCATGCACTACCATGCCCGGCTAATTTTTAATTTTTATTGTAAAGATGAGGTCTCACCAAGTTGCCTGGGCTGGTCTTGAAGCCGTGGGCTCAGGCAATCCACTTGCCTCAGCCTCCCAAAGTGCTAGGATTACAGGCTAAGCCACTGAGCCTGGCCATGCTCATTATTTTTTTATTTTGGTCCTCTTAAATGGTGTGGGAATGTCTGGGGTTTGTTTGGGGGGCGGGGGGATGTTTTCTCTCTAGATAGGATGGTGAGGCGGGTGGTTCCCCGGAATCGACCCCAGAGACTACGCGTACCCTTGGGAAGGGACACTTGAGAGGGGGCAGGGAGTCACGCCCCTGGCTCTGTTCCTGGACCCTTGTCCCAAATATCTGTGGGAGCTGTCTTGTGGTCCTTTTCGGGTCTTCAGCAACCCCAGGCCTCCAGCGCTGGAGGTACTGCGTCACTTTCTCTAGCTGTTCCTGCTCTTCCCGCCTCTCACCAGTAGCCTCATTTTTCTCAATCACTTAGGGAGGTGAGCTGGGTTGGTAGCTGCTGTCTGCATGTCCCATCCCACTGGACAGCCTGTCTTGGCCTCTTTCTTCCTGGCCTGTGGGTCTGTCCTTAAGGAAGGGGTAGAGCCTTTCCCAGGCAAGCCTCCTTGGGCTGAACCACACCTTTTTTGGAAGCAGGAGGGGAAAAGGTATCATCCCTTGCAGAACGTGCAGTGTGGGAGGCCACAGGGGCGCGGGAGGACCCGGTCCCTCTGGATCACCCGGCTCCTCAGGGCCAGCAGCTGTTGAGGAGGCGGCAGGGCTGGGAGTGCCCTAGTTCTCCCACGAGTCTCACTGGGGACAACTGCTGTGCAGAGAGGAGATTGGCTGCTCCCTCCTTTGGTCCTCAGGCTTGAATTCACCAGGAATTCACAGGGTGCTATTTGTGGGCCTTGTCCTTTCCTATGATTTTCCTTGCTTTCAGGCAGGGAGGACTCTGGCTCCCTCAACACAACAGAAGAGATGATGGGAGAGAGTGAGCAGCCAGGGAAAGCCAGCACTACCCGAAAGCTGCTCAAAACACTGGTTTCACACTCTTGGTTCTGCGTACCAGTGTGTGACTTGGGGTTTCACTGAAATCGGTTTCCACCAATGCAGTTTCCGCAGGCTGCTTGGCACGCAAGCCCCGGTAGACCCACACATGCAAATGAAGGTGGGCAGGGCGCGGTCCCGTCCCCCGCTGTCCCAGCGCTCGGGGGAGCGCCTCTCGGGGCCCTCGCGCCGCCCCCCCGGCCCCCAGAGGGCGCTGTGAGCGACTCCGCCGCGCGG